CTGCATGGAAGTGCTGTAAACTTAGAAACTTTTAAGGATGAAAGCTTTTGTTCTTTTCTTTGTTTTTGAAGTAGTATATTTTGTAAGAAGCAAAACAAGGGAACAAATATGATAACTGTTGGGTGGCTCTAGGTGATTTGTACTTATGAATTTTGTTTCCTTCTTCATTTCCAGTTAAATCCATTATGTACACGGCCATATCATCTGAAGAATATCTCTTTAAAATTTCATGATGCAATGTCAAAAAGGAAAAAAAACAAAACCAAGCGAGCTCTGTTTAATCAGCTGAGAATCATAACTCAGTTCAAACTTGGCCTTCCCTGCTGAAGTGCTGGCCAAAGTTTCACTAGTGTAGTGACATTCTGCAACCAGAGAAAACAGGTTTTACAATGAAATATCTGGTTGAACAAACGTAGTTGTCAACAGCAGCACCTAATGACTATTTGTTAAGGTGAAAGGGTGTATAATGTATTTTTGATTTATAATTCATACTTCACTTGCACATAAGCAAATAGAGAAAACAGTCTATGTGGCTAAGTAATCACACTCAATTATACAATCCAGGCCATTTCAAGTGACCATTTCAAGGTTTGTGTAGCAGCTATTAAACGATTTTGTTGGCAGAATGTTTGAAAACTGAAATACAAATGGAAATTAATTCTGCTATCCTGACTCTTGTGTTGTCACTTAATCTGAACAAGATGAATATCTAGGAAATACTGGCATAAATACTGTTGCTCCTTTCTATTCTGTTGTTTTAGTAAATATGAACCGGCTCAAAGCACAGGGCAGCATCAGACCTTACAGGTCATAAAAGTATGCTTAGTAAAATACAGTTCCATCCATTAGGATAATTGGTGATAGAACACCACTGTTTTGTTTTCAAATTACTGTTTTCTTTTCCTCAGTCATATATTTTCCTTCTAATACCCTTGTTTTCTAGCATATAAGAGTAGCATATTGAACTCGTGGCCTTGTTGCTAGGTTTCAAGCTGCATTTATGCAGTCTACTGAGACATTCTTCTCATTTTTGAATTCTGAATCAAGTCCCAAGGCAACAGTGCCCTGTTCCTTAGCAACACAGATGGGTAGACTGCATATTCCAGCTCTTTTGTACAATGGAAGAATAAACAATTCCCTGAATAAGTGTGTGCTGCAAGTCCATTGCTTCACTTAATTTCACAGAGAAGAGAGGAAAGGGAAGTCTTCTGTGGTACAGCAGATGAAGTTTGTCTTGAAGTCCCTCTCTTTGCAGAGTGGTGAGTCATGTTTCTATTTTTTCTATCCTCTGCATCTCTCTGGGGTCTTTATTCACCACTGTGCATATGGATCTGTAGGTACTTCGGATCAGTGATTTCAGTTTCTAAGATACAAATGTAGGTAACAAAGCTGGCAGAGGTGGGATGTGTGAAAATACACAGACTTTTTGCTCTGGTGAAATTAAAGGAGAGTCATAGAATTGCATAGCTTTAGAAAATCTGGGTGCAAACCCTTGATTTTAGGAAGGAAATTAGGGCTGGAGAAAATAGAGGCTTGAGAGGTAAGGAGGAAATGTGTATTCATGCAACTAACATGTTAGCGGTCTATTACCTGTGCTTGAAATGGAGAAAAGTTATCCTTTTAACAGCATCTCTGTAAAGTGTTAGGCAGTTTTGAGTCTTTTTGGCAACATAATCAAACTCCAAATTTTGCTGTTTCTGGACTGTGGGACTAACATTGCCATGGAGAGGGAGGAGAACAAGGGAGAGAAAAGGAGGCAGAAAAGGCCACACAGCTTGGCAGAGCTGAACATTCCTGCTTCTGGTGCCTATGGAGGGGCAGGTGCATACATCATCTTTTCATGATGGCAACAGCAGCAATGCAAAGTCTCAGTACAATTTTGGCACAGAGTAGAAGAACGGAAGCACTTGTGCTATTCATCCCACTGACCTTGGCATGTACCTGTTTTGCCTAGACCTAAAGCTGGCCTTGTCAGTCTGCCATATCTGAGTTTAGTTGCAAAACAAGAAAAGGCTGCTTTATGTGTATAAAGTATCAACTGCCAATTTTTTTCCAAAATCTATTAAATCATGAAGTAAACACAGCAGCTGGCTATGGTGGGACAGCTGTTTTGCCTGTAGACTGCCCACACACACTTGATGGGAAGCCTGGGCCACCTTAGAACACAGAAGCAAAGTTCCCATTCAAGCCTACTCACCTCCTCCTAAGCAGGAACGGGGCCAAGCTGTGCTTCAGTGTTTGGATAGCCTGGGTATAACCTGTGAAGCAGTGACTGAGTTTTGGCCCCTTCCCAAAGGCTGTCCTGCAGCAGGGATCTGCTGCAGCTGGAAGCGTTCCAGCTGTGTGGTCCTGGGCTGGAAGGAACCTGCCTTGGCAGCACAGCACAGCTGAGCATGGCCTGGGAACCAAAATCACCTAGAAAAAAGAGCACAGAAATGTGATCTTCCAGAAGTAATTTGTGGGTACTTGATTTATTTCCAGTAAGCTGCCCACCCAAATCCTTGCTCAGAATCACAGTTTTGTTGGTAAGGACATACTTCCATATGCCCTTATCCTTCAATGGGCTATCAACTTCTTTTAGAAAAAAAACAATTCTGTTCTCAGAATGAGTAAGTACAAAGAAGAGAAAGTTGTAATGAAGCTTTCCTTCAGGTTTCCTGAGCACTGAGTATTAGAGTAGGAAAAATATTGTTTGTATTGTGTTTGGGCCTGCTGCAATACCGTTATGATCTACATCTTTCTTCCAGATTTTCAGGGCATAAAAGGAGCTCTTGTGTAAGAAAGGGAACAGTCTAGGAGCAGCTTTTAGATCACAGAGACAAAACAGAAAACATGGATAAGGTAGTATCTTTGTCCAGTTTGTGCACAGAGATAAATACTTTATTGCCTATTTGGAGTGTTAATGATGCACCAATGGTCTTTCATCCTGCCCAGAGGCATCCTTGGGTGTAGGAAGGGGCCTTCCTCTACCTCTGGGCAAAAAGATGAAGATCATGGCACTGGCTGATGACTTAGCCCATGGCAGGACATAACACCTGGGCATATATTAAGATAGCTCTAATTAACATTATGACCTGGATGTGCTCAGGAATGCAGAGAAAAATTAAAATGAATCAGGATTAATGGAGAGCAGAGTTTCAACATTCCCCTCTTCTGAGGTTTTTTTTGTCACTTCTGCTTGTATAAGGTGAGACTAGTGTGCATGCAGTTTGCCCCCCTGTAACCCCAAACCCCTGCTGCACTGCCCTGCATGTGCACAGGGATGTCAGGGAGGTACTGCTTAAAGAGACAGGAATTAAAATATGAAAAATTAAAAAATAAGAAAGGGTGTATTTGTGTTGTTACATAGTGATGAGTATTTCAGATAAAATAAAATTCAGAGCTCCTGTTCCTACAGGCTGGTACGAATGTGTAAATTCCTAATATCCATGCTTTTGACTTCAGATGGGCTTTCTCTAGGCTCAGGAGTTTTCTTCATCAGATTACTTTGCAGAAGTGAAAGACAGAACCAAAGAGCAGTACTTCTTCATCTAAGCACAGGTACAAAATAATATTCAAGTACAACCACGTATTTATCTTTGGTGAATGTGCTCGGTTGTGCAGACATGTATAGTCAGACTGAAAGTAGCAATCAGTAATAAATGTACTGTTTTATATGTGTATGTGTGTGTGTTGGGTTTTCTTTTTCTTTTGCCAGTGATTGCAATATTTGAGAAGAAAAAATGAATCATCAGGCCATTATATTCATCCTCCACCAAGAAGAGAGAAAATTTTTATTTGAAACTCAAGGAAAATTTTCTGCAAGCCTTGGCTGGCCTTCCTCTCAACAACAAACTGCAGTGCAGCAATCCAAAGGCAACACAGATTTATGGCTAAAACAACCTCCTGATTTTAGATATTGGCTCTATAAGTCATCGTACCTTCCTCAGAAGTCACAAGGAAAGTGAAAAGGGGAACTGAAGCCAAAAAGAATCTCTGAGGCCACAGTCATGCCTGAGCTGCACTTAGGGTTAGGGTTATGCTTAAGGTTAGGGTTGAGAAAAACCACAAACCCAAGGGTTTCAGGGACAATGACTATACGAAAGGCATGCCAAGGTGGACACAGCACTGCCCAACATTTCTCCCTCCACACCTTTTACCTTGGCAACACCTATGTGTTTGGCATCTTGGCCTCAGCCATAGGGAGCTTTCAGTGCTCTGTTTAGGCTTAGGGTTACTCTTAGGGTTAGGGTTCAGAAAACCACAAAGGCCAGAGATGTGGGGACACTGACACTACAAAAGGCATGTCAAGGGGAGCATGGCACTGCCCCAGCATTATTCCCTTCACAACTTGCTCCTTGGCACCACCCATGATTGGATGTTTAACCTGATTGCTATTTACATCGTACCTGATGTGAAAACTTTCTTTAGGTGCCGTACTGACATGATAGGAAGCCCAGCAATTAATTTGACAGATAATGAGGGGATAGAAACTTCCATGATTTGGGTTCAAGGGCCTCTCCCTTGTAGGTAGGGTAGACCACTGGCTTCCCAGGAAAAACTCCAGCTAAACTGGGCTTTTTTGAGCTTTAATACATAAAAGCAGTACCACACTCCTGGGGCTGCCATTTTCCGGTTTTCTTGGATGAAGGGGGGCCTCACATGGAGTGTCAGCTCTGCCCCCCTGTCCTGGGGTGCCTTTATGATGTTTGTATCCCAAGTCATATGATCTGTTTATGCTCCATCTTGAGTTCTGCACCTTTAAGGCTGGTTCCGAGAGCCAAGGGGGGAAAGAAGAAGTGCACAGCTTGTTTTCAGATACGGCACTCACTGCCCCACATGCTTCTGCAGGCTGTGCTGTCTGCAGCACGGACAGACAGAGGGACAGAGCTCTCCTGTGCTTTCAGCTAGTTTTTAGTTAGCTGAGGCAGTGAAGTTCCCCTGACTGTGTTTTTTTTTATTTTTTCTTGGATCTGTTCAAACCTGCTCTGGACTGAAACCCCAGCCAAACCCCGGGAGCACACACCTGTGGCCCACCAGAGCCTGGGCCTCGGCCCTTTCCAGAGCCAGAGGGACTGATAAGGGACTGAGTGGGCCGAGCTACACCCCTCGACAAGGACTTTTCTGGATTTGCCCTCTCTTCGAACAGCAAGAGGTTTTATTGCTTAATATTTATATATATATATATATGCTTGTAGATACTTTGCTTGTTAAATAAAGTTTTTTCCAGTTTTCTCCAAGGAAATCTTTTCCCAAACGAGTTGGCGGAGGGGCCGCTTGAACTTGCTTTCTGTAGGGACCCCGTTTGGAGGTTTTCTCCCAGATTTGCCCTAAACCAGGACACCCCTCCTTGCCCTTTTCCCCCTGCAGTGCTGCTTCTTCCCTGGCTGTGTGTCCTGTCCGCAGCGTTCCCCTGCTGCTGCACCGCTTGCCCGAGGTAGCCGGTTTCCCCGGCGGGGCAGTGGCGGCCTGCTCGCAGCCCGCCCCCGCCGTGGGGCCTGTGGCGCTGC